TACAACCCCCCCCCCCCCCCCCAATTCTCCTGTCATTTGGTTCGACCTGGTTTATGTCGTCCCCAGTCCCCACCCAAGCATCCCATGGAGCCACTAAATCTGGGGAGGAACAGAGTCCTCCGTGGCCAACCTTGGCCTAGCCTCAGACGTGACATGGAGGATGATAGACCTGACAGTGAAGATGGTAGATCGAACTGCGACGAGGTCTTTCTCCAACCACCCACTATGGCTCTGGCTGAGGATCCATGGAAGGTCCCATGAGTAGACTCTCCCCCGGGGATCAGACTCATCTCTGGAACCACGATCATCCATGAAATACATTGCAGATTGTCTACTTTTCCTGCAGATCAGTTGGCCAAAAAAAGGACGACACATACAATGGGCGCGTGTGGAAAAATATATTATTATAACAAACTATTTTGGTTGATGGATCTTCCAAATGAGAACCCAAGAGAAGACCAACGAGATTGAGGTCATCATAGGATGCAGAATGAACTCTGGACATCGACATCTCTGAACCCCATCAAACTCCGCTATGACCTCCTCCATCTACTACTCAGGTCGTCTTCCGGAAAGGGTCCTTGTCTCGTACCACGATAGGAAGCCTGAGATGAGGGCGGCCCGAGATGAGGGCGGCCTCTCTTACTGCACCAGTCCAAGCACCCCTGGGTGGTGGGACAGAGAGTGCAGGATGAAGGAGTGCCATGAGTGCTCGTGGATGGAGATGCCATTGGAACTTGCGAGCTCTGGTTTCGCATGGCTGGAGATGAGGGCAGCCTGAGATGAGGGCGGCCCGAGATGAGGGCGGCCCGAGATGAGGGCGGCCCGAGATGAGGGCGGCCTCTCTTACTGCACCAGTCCAAGCACCCCTGGGTGGTGGGACAGAGAGTGCAGGATGAAGGAGTGCCATGAGTGCTCGTGGATGGAGATGCCATTGGAACTTGCGAGCTCTGGTTTCGCATGGCTGGAGATGACAGGGGATGGGAGGTCACTAACAAGAACTGGAAAGAAAACTTTATTTCTCTGAAAAAACGGTCAACTCGCTTGAAGATGCGCTTCAAGTATTTATTGATCGAGAACATCAGCTACAGCCAACACATTTCAGAAGATGCCTGGTGGAAGAATCAAGGCAGAGCTTGAGGCGAAAGGAATCTTCAAGCGAGTTGACTGTTCTAACAACAAATCCAGGATTTTATCTTCAGCTTCCTCTATCGTGGTCACAGAGTCCGCAGCCTAGGATTGCCACCAGGTCCACAGGCGCCACACCAGGATAACATCAAGATTTTGTAAAGGAAGCTAGCATCTTCGGCATCAGTGGGCATGTGTTTCCTGATATCTGATTAGATGCATTTTCTGGCTGAAGGACCTCCCACACTCATGAACACGAAAATTGCTGGCCCGAGTGAGTTATCTGGTGGATGACAAGGTATTGTTGCTTTATGAAACCTTTCCCGCACTCTTCACAAGAAAACGGCTTCTCGCCAGTGTGGAGTTTCATGTGGTTATCGAGTCTTTGCTGAATGGAGAAATATTTGCCACATTCAGAACAGGGATAAGGCTTCTCGCCGGTGTGAACTCTCCGGTGGACAACAAGGTCCACTTTCCGCATGAAGGATTTCCCACATTCAGAGCACGGGAAGGGCTTCTTACTGGCGTGGACTCTCTGGTGGACAACAAGGTCCACTTTCCGCATGAAGGATTTTCCGCATTCGGAGCACGGGAAGGGCTTCTCGCCGGTGTGAACTCTCTGGTGGATAACAAGGTCTGCATTCCGCACGAAGCCTTTCCCACACTCAGAGCACGGGAAGGGCTTCTCACTGGCGTGGACTCTCAGGTGGATAACAAGGTCGGCTTCCCGCATGAAGGAATTCCCACATTCAAAGCATGGGAAGGGCTTCTCGCCGGTGTGAACTCTCTGGTGGACAATAAGGTCCACTTTACGCACAAAGGACTTCCCACACTCAGAGCACGGGAACGGCTTCTCACTGGCGTGGACTCTCTGGTGGACAACAAGGTCCACTTTCCGCACAAAGGATTTCCCACACTCAGAGCACGGGAAGGGCTTCTCACTGGCATGGACTTGCTGATGGACAACAAGGTCCGCTTTCCGTATGAAGGACTTCCCGCACTCAGAGCACGGGAAGGACTTCTCACTAGCGTGGATTCTCTGGTGGATAACAAGGTTTGCTTTCCGTGTGAAGCTTTTCCCACACTCAGAGCACGGGAAGGGCTTCTCGCCGTTGTGAACTCTCTGGTGGACAACCAGGTCCCCTTTCCGTACAAAGGATTTCTCACATTCCGAGCATGAAAACCTTTCCGCCCTGGAGTGACCTTTCTGCTGTGCTGATTTGGACTTCCTGAGCTCTCTTGTGTGACTTCTCTGGTGGACAACAAGGTATCGCTGCTTTACAAAACCTTTCCCGCACTCCGCGCAGGAAAACGGCTTCTCCCCGGTGTGGTGTTTCTTGTGCTCGTCAAGGCTTCCTTTATAGGAGAAACATTTGCTGCATTCAGAGCACCAGAAGGGTTTCACGCCGCTGTGAACTCTCTGGTGCGCAACAAGGTCCGCTTTCCATATGAAGGACTTCCCGCACTCCGAGCACGGAAAGACCTTCTTTCCGCTGTGATGCCTCATATGTACTCGGAGTTCATATTTACTGGTGAAGCTCTTCCCGCACTCCGAGCACAGCGATGAACTGTTCCGGCAATTGAGTTTCTGATGTCGAACGAGGGCGGCCTTCTGTTTAAACTGTCTGTCACATTCGGAACAGGGAAAGGGATACCCCGTCACGTGCAATTGCTTGTGCATGATGAGGAGACGTCTGGTTCTTACTTTCTTGCCACATTCGGAACACGCAAAAGGGTTTTCACCGGTGTGGAGGCGCTCATGCTCGACGAGTTGCTTTCTCTCTCTAAAACCTTTCCCGCACGCTGTACACAAGAAAGGTCTTTCATCTGTGTGAACTCTCACGTGCCTGAGAAGGTCCGATTTGGATGCAGAGGTCTTCCCGCACTCTGAGCAAGAATAGGGCCGCACGCCGGTGTGCACCATGAAATGCCTCACAAGTCTGTCCTTGTATTTAAAAACTTTATCGCATTCGGAACACTGGAATCGCTTATCACTTGTACATCTCACAGCGAGTGATTTTCCAGAAGATTGTTCTTTGCTATTAGAGGGATCCATGGAACTGATCTCATTGGAAGGTCTATGTAGATTTTCAGTAACAGGATTTGCTCCTGGAGGACATTGTGCAATGCCATTCTCTTCTGGAGGTAAAGGAAGGTCACCCTCCGAGTCATTCAAGACATTGCGTCCCTCTGCAGGAAGAAAACATTTTATGAATATTCAGACCATGTTCATTTCTCAGGTAGAGCTTTGGATGTTGGTCTAGATGGAGGTGGACCTTCATATGGTGTACAGTATCTCCTCCTCATTTGTTGGTCACATGACGTTATATTGGGGAACAGAGATGGACCTTCATATGGTGTACAGTATCTCCTCCTCATTTGTTGGTCACATGACGTTATATTGGGGAATGGAGATGGACCTTCATATGGTGTACAGTATCTCCTCCTTTGTTGGTCACATGACGTTATATTGGGGAATGGAGATGGACCTTCATATGGTGTCCAGTATCTCCTCCTCTCATTTGTTGGTCACATGACGATATATTGAGGAATGGAGATGGACCTTCATATGGTGTCCAGTATCTCCTCCTCATTTGTTGGTCACATGACGTTATATTGGGGAATGGAGATGGACCTTCATATGGTGTACAGTATCTCCTCCTCATTTGTAGGTCACATGACGTTATATTGAGGAATGGAGATGGACCTTCATATGGTGTACAGTATCTCCTCCTCATTTGTTGGTCACATTACGTTATATTGAGGAATGGAGATGGACCTTCATATGGTGTACAGTATCTCCTCCTCATTTGTAGGTCACATGACGTTATATTGAGGAATGGAGATGGACCTTCATATGGTGGCCTACAGGTCTACCATTTCTAGTCCAGTTTCCTCTCTTACCAAACACCGAGACGGTCTCCTGCTTCTCCGTCACATTATTCTGGACATCTTTATCTACAATATGACCCTTTTCTGCACTCAATGTTGATTACGTACCCATGCGAATATGTAGAGAAGATTTCTCCTTTTCTGCCCTCACTTCTTCCTCCTCCGCGGACTTACGATGATCCCTCACATACTTCTCTTCTTCCTGTTTAATCTCAACTTTTACATCAAGCAGTTTTTCGCCCTAAAAGTAAAAGATGACAACATATAAAATAATGAAGTAGAAAGAACATAGTAGAGTCCTAGATGACGAACATCTACCTGGTCACGTTGCGCATAGTTGTGATCTTCCAGTGTGGAATCCCGGGAACACAGAGGACCTCCCTCCTCCATAGACTGCTGATCTCCATGCACAGTTGTCTTCTCTTCTTCTTCTTTAACCTCAACTTGTAGGGTGAAGACCTGAAAGATGATAGAACACAGAAAGAGATTTCATGGAAAAGGGTCATCTTATGATTTAGAATACATTTGAGGGGTTTATGTTCAGCTCCACCTACCTGATCAATGCGAGGCATAGGGGGATCTTCCTGCGTGGGGTCCCGGGAATACAGGGGGCGGGGACATCTCTCATGGTGGGGGAGGGTGAGATCTTCCTGGGTGGGATCCCGGGAATACAGGGGGCGGGGACATCTCTCATGGTGGGGGAGGGTGAGATCTTCCTGGGTGGGATCCCGGGAATACAGGGGGCGGGGACATCTCTCATGGTGGGGGAGGGTGAGATCTTCCTGGGTGGGATCCCGGGAATACAGGGGGCGGGGACATCTCTCATGGTGGGGGAGGGTGAGATCTTCCTGGGTGGGATCCCGGGAATACAGGGGGCGGGGACATCTCTCATGGTGGGGGAGGGTGAGATCTTCCTGGGTGGGATCCCGGGAATACAGGGGGCGGGGACATCTCTCATGGTGGGGGAGGGTGAGATCTTCCTGGGTGGGATCCCGGGAATACAGGGGGCGGGGACATCTCTCATGGTGGGGGAGGGTGAGATCTTCCTGGGTGGGATCCCGGGAATACAGGGGGCGGGGACATCTCTCTGGTGGGTTCCTCTTACTGGATCCATCTGTAGGAAACACACACACTGACTGAATACATTGTTTCTATGTGTGTATCAGCTGATGGGGGATGTAGGTGGAGCCTCCGTACTGCTCTCTCCTCTTACCCGGTGATGTGAGGGGCGGGGCATTCTCCATCACCACGTCCTTGTAGAGATCCCGGTGTCCTTCTAGATACTCCCACTCCTCCATGGAGAGATAGACAGAGACATCCTGACACCTTATAGGAACCTGACACACACAATGATACCGTCACCACCCAGACACGCCCCTTGTCTGTTCCTGGATCATGTCCCAGAATCCCCGGCACCGCTCACCTCTCCCGTCAGCAGCTCCATCATCTTCTTGATGACTTCTAGAACCTTCTTGTCATTTATCTCAGGTGTCACGGAGTGAGGTGGAGGCTCTGTGATGGGGGTGGTCTCATGGGGATGGATGTCGGATGTCAGTCGCTCCCCAGAGGTCTTCTTTACCACTTCACAATCCTGTGTAAGAAAAATCATTGCGACACGTGTTCTGGAACTTCTCCACCCCTCCGGTCAGATCAGAGTGATGTCATGTGACCTCCCAGAATCCTCCTCACCTCTCCGGTCAGGTCTGTGTGTTATGAATAGAGATCAGAGTGATGTCATGTGACCTCCCAGAATCCTCCTCACCCCTCCGGTCAGGTCACGTGACCTCCCAGAATCCTCCTCACCTCTCCGGTCAGCAGGTAGATGATCTCCAGGGTGAGGGTTAACACCTTTTCCGTCATGTCCCTCCGCTCTCTGTCCATCATTCCGTTGGGTCATGTGATCTGTAGATGGATGACACAGTGAGAATGATCTCCGCCGCGGGGTTCCGGAGATATAGGACATGGTGGGCAGCACGTTATATATTATGGGATAGAAATGGTTACCAGGAGATGAAGTCCATTTTATGTTCTCAGAGACTGATGTGACTGTGGGGGAGGGGACATTAGAGTGTAAGCTCCTCTGTACAGAGACTGATGTAACTGTGGGGGGAGGGGGGGGACATTAGAGTGTAAGCTCCTCTGTACAGAGACTGATGTAACTGTGGGGGGAGGGGGGGGACATTAGAGTGTAAGCTCCTCTGTACAGAGACTGATGTAACTGTGGGGGGAGGGGGGGGACATTAGAGTGTAAGCTCCTCTGTACAGAGACTGATGTAACTGTGGGGGGAGGGGGGGGACATTAGAGTGTAAGCTCCTCTGTACAGAGACTGATGTAACTGTGGGGGGAGGGGGGGGACATTAGAGTGTAAGCTCCTCTGTACAGAGACTGATGTAACTGTGGGGGGAGGGGGGGGACATTAGAGTGTAAGCTCCTCTGTACAGAGACTGATGTAACTGTGGGGGGAGGGGGGGGACATTAGAGTGTAAGCTCCTCTGTACAGAGACTGATGTAACTGTGGGGGGAGGGGGGGGACATTAGAGTGTAAGCTCCTCTGTACAGAGACTGATGTAACTGTGGGGGGAGGGGGGGGACATTAGAGTGTAAGCTCCTCTGTACAGAGACTGATGTAACTGTGGGGGGAGGGGGGGGACATTAGAGTGTAAGCTCCTCTGTACAGAGACTGATGTAACTGTGGGGGGAGGGGGGGGACATTAGAGTGTAAGCTCCTCTGTACAGAGACTGATGTAACTGTGGGGGGAGGGGGGGGACATTAGAGTGTAAGCTCCTCTGTACAGAGACTGATGTAACTGTGGGGGGAGGGGGGGGACATTAGAGTGTAAGCTCCTCTGTACAGAGACTGATGTAACTGTGGGGGGAGGGGGGGGACATTAGAGTGTAAGCTCCTCTGTACAGAGACTGATGTAACTGTGGGGGGAGGGGGGGGACATTAGAGTGTAAGCTCCTCTGTACAGAGACTGATGTAACTGTGGGGGGAGGGGGGGGACATTAGAGTGTAAGCTCCTCTGTACAGAGACTGATGTAACTGTGGGGGGAGGGGGGGGACATTAGAGTGTAAGCTCCTCTGTACAGAGACTGATGTAACTGTGGGGGGAGGGGGGGGACATTAGAGTGTAAGCTCCTCTGTACAGAGACTGATGTAACTGTGGGGGGAGGGGGGGGACATTAGAGTGTAAGCTCCTCTGTACAGAGACTGATGTAACTGTGGGGGGAGGGGGGGGACATTAGAGTGTAAGCTCCTCTGTACAGAGACTGATGTAACTGTGGGGGGAGGGGGGGGACATTAGAGTGTAAGCTCCTCTGTACAGAGACTGATGTAACTGTGGGGGGAGGGGGGGGACATTAGAGTGTAAGCTCCTCTGTACAGAGACTGATGTAACTGTGGGGGGAGGGGGGGGACATTAGAGTGTAAGCTCCTCTGTACAGAGACTGATGTAACTGTGGGGGGAGGGGGGGGACATTAGAGTGTAAGCTCCTCTGTACAGAGACTGATGTAACTGTGGGGGGAGGGGGGGGACATTAGAGTGTAAGCTCCTCTGTACAGAGACTGATGTAACTGTGGGGGGAGGGGGGGGACATTAGAGTGTAAGCTCCTCTGTACAGAGACTGATGTAACTGTGGGGGGAGGGGGGGGACATTAGAGTGTAAGCTCCTCTGTACAGAGACTGATGTAACTGTGGGGGGAGGGGGGGGACATTAGAGTGTAAGCTCCTCTGTACAGAGACTGATGTAACTGTGGGGGGAGGGGGGGGACATTAGAGTGTAAGCTCCTCTGTACAGAGACTGATGTAACTGTGGGGGGAGGGGGGGGACATTAGAGTGTAAGCTCCTCTGTACAGAGACTGATGTAACTGTGGGGGGAGGGGGGGGACATTAGAGTGTAAGCTCCTCTGTACAGAGACTGATGTAACTGTGGGGGGAGGGGGGGGACATTAGAGTGTAAGCTCCTCTGTACAGAGACTGATGTAACTGTGGGGGGAGGGGGGGGACATTAGAGTGTAAGCTCCTCTGTACAGAGACTGATGTAACTGTGGGGGGAGGGGGGGGACATTAGAGTGTAAGCTCCTCTGTACAGAGACTGATGTAACTGTGGGGGGAGGGGGGGGACATTAGAGTGTAAGCTCCTCTGTACAGAGACTGATGTAACTGTGGGGGGAGGGGGGGGACATTAGAGTGTAAGCTCCTCTGTACAGAGACTGATGTAACTGTGGGGGGAGGGGGGGGACATTAGAGTGTAAGCTCCTCTGTACAGAGACTGATGTAACTGTGGGGGGAGGGGGGGGACATTAGAGTGTAAGCTCCTCTGTACAGAGACTGATGTAACTGTGGGGGGAGGGGGGGGACATTAGAGTGTAAGCTCCTCTGTACAGAGACTGATGTAACTGTGGGGGGAGGGGGGGGACATTAGAGTGTAAGCTCCTCTGTACAGAGACTGATGTAACTGTGGGGGGAGGGGGGGGACATTAGAGTGTAAGCTCCTCTGTACAGAGACTGATGTAACTGTGGGGGGAGGGGGGGGACATTAGAGTGTAAGCTCCTCTGTACAGAGACTGATGTAACTGTGGGGGGAGGGGGGGGACATTAGAGTGTAAGCTCCTCTGTACAGAGACTGATGTAACTGTGGGGGGAGGGGGGGGACATTAGAGTGTAAGCTCCTCTGTACAGAGACTGATGTAACTGTGGGGGGAGGGGGGGGACATTAGAGTGTAAGCTCCTCTGTACAGAGACTGATGTAACTGTGGGGGGAGGGGGGGGACATTAGAGTGTAAGCTCCTCTGTACAGAGACTGATGTAACTGTGGGGGGAGGGGGGGGACATTAGAGTGTAAGCTCCTCTGTACAGAGACTGATGTAACTGTGGGGGGAGGGGGGGGACATTAGAGTGTAAGCTCCTCTGTACAGAGACTGATGTAACTGTGGGGGGAGGGGGGGGACATTAGAGTGTAAGCTCCTCTGTACAGAGACTGATGTAACTGTGGGGGGAGGGGGGGGACATTAGAGTGTAAGCTCCTCTGTACAGAGACTGATGTAACTGTGGGGGGAGGGGGGGGACATTAGAGTGTAAGCTCCTCTGTACAGAGACTGATGTAACTGTGGGGGGAGGGGGGGGACATTAGAGTGTAAGCTCCTCTGTACAGAGACTGATGTAACTGTGGGGGGAGGGGGGGGACATTAGAGTGTAAGCTCCTCTGTACAGAGACTGATGTAACTGTGGGGGGAGGGGGGGGACATTAGAGTGTAAGCTCCTCTGTACAGAGACTGATGTAACTGTGGGGGGAGGGGGGGGACATTAGAGTGTAAGCTCCTCTGTACAGAGACTGATGTAACTGTGGGGGGAGGGGGGGGACATTAGAGTGTAAGCTCCTCTGTACAGAGACTGATGTAACTGTGGGGGGAGGGGGGGGACATTAGAGTGTAAGCTCCTCTGTACAGAGACTGATGTAACTGTGGGGGGAGGGGGGGGACATTAGAGTGTAAGCTCCTCTGTACAGAGACTGATGTAACTGTGGGGGGAGGGGGGGGACATTAGAGTGTAAGCTCCTCTGTACAGAGACTGATGTAACTGTGGGGGGAGGGGGGGGACATTAGAGTGTAAGCTCCTCTGTACAGAGACTGATGTGACTGGCTCGGTGTTCTCTGTACAGCGCTGTGGTATATGTCAGCGATATAATTCTATATTGGTGATTCATCTGCTGGAGCTAAAACACGTGACAGGAAATATAAAATAATAACTTATTACCTCCTCTGCTGACAGTTCCAGCAGTGTGTGCTTTCTGTTTCCTCACATGAAACTTCCTGGATATTACATCACTTCCTCCCAACACCTCACTTCCTGTCAGTTACCTCACTTCCTGTCATCATGTTCTGCTCACGACATTTGACATTTCCACCCAGTGGTGAATGTAGGGACTGCCGGGCTGTAATCTGATATCCGGCTCTCTGATGGACGAATCACATTCCGTATATTTAGTATCCTCGTCACTAAACTATAATGAAAATAAAATTATGACAACGGAAGCTCGGTCACCTTGAAGCGTCAGCCATCATTTACTCTGTAGACGAGTGTGATGACCCCCGGCGCGGTGTCCGGATATTTACTGATGTCTGACATTATGAAGGTGCCACTGAGGACAGACGTCGTCCTGATCACCAATAATGTCTATATCACCATTCTCAAGTAGGGTTCAGCGGACCCCATAGGGTGCAGAGGTCAGGAGTATGTAGCGTGCATAGGTCAGGAGTATGTAGCGTGCATAGGTCAGGAGTATGTAGTGTGCAGAGGTCAGGAGTATGTAGCGTGCATAGGTCAGGAGTATGTAGTGTGCTGAGGTCAGGGGTATGTAGTGTGCAGAGGTCAGGAGTATGTAGCGTGCATAGGTCAGGAGTATGTAGAGGTCAGGAGTATGTAGCGTGCATAGGTCAGGAGTATGTAGCGTGCATAGGTCAGGAGTATGTAGGGTGTAGAGGTCAGGAGTATGTAGTGTGTAGAGGTCAGGACTATGTAGTGTGCTGAGGTCAGGAGTATGTAGTGTGCAGAGGTCAGGAGTATGTAGGGTGCAGAGGTCAGGAGTATGTAGGGTGCAGAGGTCAGGAGTATGTAGTGTGCAAAGGTCAGGAGTATGTAGTGTGCAGGTCAGGAGTATGTAGGGTGCAGAGGTCAGGAGTATGTAGGGTGCAGAGGTCAGGAGTATGTAGGGTGCAGAGGTCAGGAGTATGTAGGGTGCAGAGGTCAGGAGTATGTAGGGTGCAGAGGTCAGGAGTATGTAGGGTGCAGAGGTCAGGAGTATGTAGGGTGCAGAGGTCAGGAGTATGTAGGGTGCAGAGGTCAGGAGTATGTAGGGTGCAGAGGTCAGGAGTATGTAGGGTGCAGAGGTCAGGAGTATGTAGGGTGCAGAGGTCAGGAGTATGTAGGGTGCAGAGGTCAGGAGTATGTAGGGTGCAGAGGTCAGGAGTATGTAGGGTGCAGAGGTCAGGAGTATGTAGGGTGCAGAGGTCAGGAGTATGTAGGGTGCAGAGGTCAGGAGTATGTAGGGTGCAGAGGTCAGGAGTATGTAGGGTGCAGAGGTCAGGAGTATGTAGGGTGCAGAGGTCAGGAGTATGTAGGGTGCAGAGGTCAGGAGTATGTAGGGTGCAGAGGTCAGGAGTATGTAGGGTGCAGAGGTCAGGAGTATGTAGGGTGCAGAGGTCAGGAGTATGTAGGGTGCAGAGGTCAGGAGTATGTAGGGTGCAGAGGTCAGGAGTATGTAGGGTGCAGAGGTCAGGAGTATGTAGGGTGCAGAGGTCAGGAGTATGTAGGGTGCAGAGGTCAGGAGTATGTAGGGTGCAGAGGTCAGGAGTATGTAGGGTGCAGAGGTCAGGAGTATGTAGGGTGCAGAGGTCAGGAGTATGTAGGGTGCAGAGGTCAGGAGTATGTAGGGTGCAGAGGTCAGGAGTATGTAGGGTGCAGAGGTCAGGAGTATGTAGGGTGCAGAGGTCAGGAGTATGTAGGGTGCAGAGGTCAGGAGTATGTAGGGTGCAGAGGTCAGGAGTATGTAGGGTGCAGAGGTCAGGAGTATGTAGGGTGCAGAGGTCAGGAGTATGTAGGGTGCAGAGGTCAGGAGTATGTAGGGTGCAGAGGTCAGGAGTATGTAGGGTGCAGAGGTCAGGAGTATGTAGGGTGCAGAGGTCAGGAGTATGTAGGGTGCAGAGGTCAGGAGTATGTAGGGTGCAGAGGTCAGGAGTATGTAGGGTGCAGAGGTCAGGAGTATGTAGGGTGCAGAGGTCAGGAGTATGTAGGGTGCAGAGGTCAGGAGTATGTAGGGTGCAGAGGTCAGGAGTATGTAGGGTGCAGAGGTCAGGAGTATGTAGGGTGCAGAGGTCAGGAGTATGTAGGGTGCAGAGGTCAGGAGTATGTAGGGTGCAGAGGTCAGGAGTATGTAGGGTGCAGAGGTCAGGAGTATGTAGGGTGCAGAGGTCAGGAGTATGTAGGGTGCAGAGGTCAGGAGTATGTAGGGTGCAGAGGTCAGGAGTATGTAGGGTGCAGAGGTCAGGAGTATGTAGGGTGCAGAGGTCAGGAGTATGTAGTGTGCAGAGGTCAGGAGTATGTAGCGGGAAGAGGACAGGAGTATGTAGCGTGCAGAGAACAGGAGTATGTAGTGTGCAGAGGTCAGGACTCTGTAGTGTGCTGAGGTCAGGAGTATGTAGTGTGCAGAGGTCAGGAGTAAGTAGTGTGCAGAGGTCCGGAGTAAGTAGTGTGCAGAGGTCAGGAGTATGTAGTGTGCAGAGGTCAGGAGTAGGTAGTGTGCAGAGGTCAGGAGTAAGTAGCGTGCAGATGTCCGGAGTAAGTAGTGTGCAGAGGTCAGGAGTATGTAGTGTGCAGAGGTCAGGAGTAGGTAGTGTGCAGAGGTCAGGAGTATGTAGTGTGCAGAGGTCAGGAGTATGTAGTGTGCCGCGGTCAGGAGTATGTAGCGTGCAGAGGTAAGGAGAATG